CTTAAACATACTTAGCTACTTAAAATTATTATCATTGGCTTACTTTTTTATTCTTTATTGTATTCCTTCTTTTGTATATCTACTGGGTCCGACTATATTATCACTTTGATTATTACAAAATTGTCCTGTCACTAACCATCATGTAATATTAGTTTTGTGGTTGTTTTTTGTTCGGCACTATTTAACTGGCAATCTTGTTTGTGAACGCCACTATCACCATCTTAAACATTTTGTAATATACATGATTACTCACACTACCACTACAAACACTGCATTAGTGCTGACAATAAAAAAAACACAACCTGTAATGTTTATTTCATGATTGTTTAGTGTTGTTCAATCAAATTAAGTGATCATCATGGCTATAAACATTCTTAAGAACATCTCATAATTTCTTGTATGATTATAGCTGTTACTGTTCACCATGCATACACATATCATAGCTTCCACTATCCAGTACTGAAATCTTTTTTCATTATTGGTGCTTATCATCCTTTCTACTTGGTATTTTTATTGGCATTTTTTTGTTGTTATTTTTGTGTTTCCCTTTGGTCTTTGTTTTTTTTTATATTTCTTTTTTTTGTAATACTTCTTTTAAATGTGCGATAAAATTAGATGCAATATTGTAGATATGTGCTGAAAATTCCACACTGTACCACTAGTACTGCTTCTGGAATAAAAGAGAAATTATTAAAAAAAATGTTGTAGGTGGCAAGCCTGGATACGAAGTGTGTGGTGTGTCGAATATCTCACTGCATTATATGTAGCTAGTAAACGGCTCAAAATGTTACAGAAATAAAGATAAGAACATAAGTGAAGAATCTAGAAATCAAACAAGTCATATATATTGACATGGTAACAAAAATACAGTTATTTTGGATTAGATGACTGAATATATAAGTGGGGAATATTAGGTGCTATCAGTCGCAATAACATAGAATGAGGTTGAGATTTCCATTGAATTGTCGTCTCATCCATCCTTCCATAGCGCCGCCCGAACCTACTTGGGTAACTTATCACAGTCTTAATTTTTTTATACGAACTGTAATCGAGATTTGGCCGGATAATTCCACAATAATAATTGAGCACCGAGTGAAAAGTAGACATGTATAAAAATCATATCTGAATTAACTTCGCGAAAATTGAAATAAGTAATTCCAACGTTTCGTTCGGCAAACCTGTCGATCTCTTTCACCGAAGTATCAAAGGTATATACCCAAGAGGATGCATCTTGGCGTCAAAATACTTGCATAGCATCTGCACGATTTAAAACAAAATGCAGATGCTCTATGTTCTCCACTTACTAACATCCTAGATGCTTCTATTTCCAAAAACGTTGCACCTGTTCCATGGTAAAACATTAAAATAGTCCCTGTCCCTAAACCTGGTAATAGCAAGAACGTAAAGTCTAGACCCATTGCCATTACTTCCCCGTTTCTAAAGCTTATGGGAAAACTAGTACTTCTTGAACTTGGACCCTCCCTAAAGAGTTTTGAAGACCCCAAACAATTTGCATAAAGACAGGGCAGAAGCAAGTTAGACGCTGCAGCCGTCTTAACAACAGTATCGTCTCATCATTAGATAAAGGTGCCAAATACGTTCGCTGCACGTTTCTCGACTTCACTTCTGCTTTCGACTCTGTACCTAGATGTCTCTTGCTAAATAAGCTCTCGATGACACAAACTTAATCCTGGGTCACAAACTGGTTGCATTCCTACTTCTCAAACAGAATGCAGTAAACTGTATACAAAGGTAAATCCTCCTCTGATGTGCTCACTGAAGCTGATGTCCCCCAAGGTACTGTACTCTCCCCACTTCTCTTTTCTTTCTTTCTACATGACTTACCATCTTCAAATGACATTAATTTTGTTAAATATGCTGACGACCTAACTGTATTTTTACTTGTCAAATGTCAAAATGACCGCTCCAAACTAAACGGCTTTTTATCAGAAATCAGCCAGTGGTCCAAGGAAAATGGTCTAACCTTAAATCCCTCTAAATGTTAAACAGTCAATTTCACCTATAGGCACAAATCTGACCTAAACAAACTGGTCAGCACTCACGAGGTGTGCAATATAGATGGCACTGAAATAGAAACCAAGTCGGAAATTAAATATCTTGGCGTCATTGTATCTGCTGATCTTTCCTGGTCGTCTCATATCTTGATGATTTCTACATCAAGAAGTTAAGACATTTTCGTATAACCCAAACCTTACTTCTACAATTCGTTAACTCTTGCATTCTGCCTATTATTCTCTATTGTCCCCCTTAGTTTTTCCAGGGCTGGCTACTGAAGAAGACTATACCTTATTGCGCAGGATGTTAAAGGTTGTCAGCAGGGTAAGCAATGTGCCGCTTAACCAGCTTGTTAATATTCTGGTCGACAGGCACATGGACTCATATGAAAACTGGGCTCAATCCATTTTATCTAACTTACACCACCCTCTACATTCATAGATCTCCCTTGTGTGTCATCAGACAGGCAGACAAGAAGCCTATATAGAAAACTATATGCTCGCACTAGTAAGTACCAAAACTCAACCATGGCCTACTTAGCTTGTGTTCTGTGCGATAAAGAAGAAAGCATTAGGCGTGATATACCTACAACTTATTAAATAGTCAGTAGAACAATTGGATCTCGTCTTTTCAACTCATATCATTTATAGGTACAACGTTTTCTTTTTTTTCCTTTTCTACCTCTTTTTCTCTGTTATGTGCTGCTTAGTTTCTTTCTTCCTTACCAACTCCATTTAAAACATTCTTCTTCTTTCTATCAGATTCTGTACATCTCGACCTTTTTATTACCGCTTACGCCAGTAAATACGCTAGCATCTACTATTCTAACACCTTCAAGCATTCTGTTCACTTTTGGCTTTCCTACCTACCAACATGCCAATATGTTGTTGTCATAACTAACTGAGATTACCCTTAATCTATGTAGAATTTTATTTATTTATTGTTAATGTACTAACTGGATGCGCAATACTGTAATAAAATGCTCCTTAGAATTCCATTTCTGAATAAAGCAAATTATTATTATTATTATTATTATTATTATAGTCATGTCTGAGTATTGAGTGAATAGTCGTCGAAGGAAAATAAACACAATTGGTAACTTTTCATGACTCTGTCTGGATTCAACATAGAACTTGGCACCGAAGTGCACCAGTTCGAGTTGCCACCTTCCAAATAGCACACAGAGGTAGACAAGAAGATGAGTGAAGAGAATCAATAGAGTTTGACAAATATAAGAGTGAAACAGAATGGGTAATGGTAGAAAGGAATATGAAAGATTACAGAGACTGAATACATCTGCGCCATTGACAACGATTTTGAGCCATGTCACCTATTGTCTCCAGCCATTGATTCCTAGAGTCCCGAGGCCCCCAACCCGGGAGTCTACATCTCCCTACCTGACTCAGTTTAACTGTCAAGGATTTCATGGATTGATGCCATGTTTTTGTTTGACCACCACTGGCTCTTTTCCAACCTGAACCTATATCAGCTAGCAATGCCCGTCAGGGGAGGCGGTGGTTAGGCATGCGCAGCAAGAATTGTATTGTGTGTGTTGTGTTCTTTCATATGTGTATGTATACCTTTGTTATTTGAATTTTGATCATTTTCCTGAACAAGTTTGAACTAGAGTAACTTTTTTCTTTAAATTTCTCTGACATCTATGCGAATGTAGCTTTTTTATTCGTCTTTAAGTCTTTACCGTGAATTTGGATCCACAAGGCCAACAGGACGTCAAGAATTGCATTCGTGTGACTGCCATCAACCAAAACAGGTTCATATTACTGTGCATGATGTTGGGTGCAGGAAGTATTTTCAGATTTAGACTTTCTACCAACTCGTGGTTTTAACTATTTGTGCCCACCTATTCAAAAATCAACACCGGGACATTCGCGCATGTTCTCGCGCCTAATACTGCGATTATCTCTATCTTGTTGATTGTTTTTTCCTTCACGTTCCCCAGTGGAACATAGGGGGGTTTCAAGCTGTGGTTTCAAGCTGTGGAGGCTGGAAGTTTCTGTTGCAGTGTTTTTATTTTTGTTTTATGGGATGGGGTTGCTAGCCTCATGCCCACCCAACCTTTCCTCTCATTACCAGCATATTATTTCTGGCTTAGCGAGCGAGGTAAAGGTGTGCGTCTGTGGCCGGGGATCGTACCATGGACCATGTGGGCATGGTGGTCGGCGAGCGTCCTAGCCGCTGTGCCACCGACGCACAATCGAGGAGGAGATGGTCTCCACGCGCGAACCGGGGACTTTTGCCTGCTTCTGGGTTTCCCCCCTGGGCCGGTGCGCACCCCTCCTTAGTCAACCTGGAAAAAACCCGTCCTCCGACAAGTCGTCCATATATCGGCGCCGTGCTTCGCGTGGGCGCCCGATCAACATGAGCATCCATATGCCAGAACTCCCGGTCCTGCGAAACTCCGCACCCTGGCCTCCAAGTAGAGCTACATTAGAGGCATACACCACTACGCCCAGCCCTTAAGATTTACATAAATAAATTAGACAGTTTTTTCTAGTGTCATCCATAATCTCAGCTTTGCGCATCGTTGCTTTTGCCTTCCTTCGCTAGCTAACCACCACTGCTGAGGAACATAACGTAAATTCTTTGTTACTTCGCTTTAGAGGTCTTTTTTCTCAGTTTTTTTTTCAAAGTCAGTGAGAAATGTGTATGTTCTCCTGTCAACAACCTAGTATTTTGTCAAGCCATGACATGGCGTAACATTATTTCTCGTAAAAAATTTAAATACTGTTGGCAACAATCGTAAAAAAGGTGGTTGGTTTAAAAAAAGTGTTTGATTGATATATAAAGTATTGAAATAGGGGTAAATGAAGTTAAATTCTCTTTTTAATTTTTTCAGCTGTTCAACTCATTTTACTGACGTCATTCATCATCTCATCAAGCAAAAAAGTGTTTTGCTCACAGATTTTACTACATTGTTTTTCCCGAAATAACTCCTCTTTCTGGCTTTTCCCTAAATTATATAGCCCGACACAGATCTTATTGGATTGATATCAGTACTGCAAATTGTATTCGGTGAGAAGTCTCCTGTATTTTCTAAATCTGCTCCTCTGTCGAAACGACAAAGCTCAAACGCCCAGTTGAACCCTAACGCATTTCTTGGTTCAATGGCTTATCCAGGTGATCTCATATGTGTGTTATTCATTTGTTTTTTTTTCATAATGCCAGAAATCACTACTCGTTCGCATTGTCACTGCATAAAAATACTTAAACTTCAATAAAGTAGTTGTGTAACAACAGAAGACAAGGGCCGGAAACAGATCCTCTTATTACGGAAATCAACACGTATTTATATATATTTCCTGTACATTATTATAGCTTATTCAAGTAGACAAACGCAGTCTTCTGATTGGTTGTTTCGGATTTCCTCGGAAAGTGGAGCCATCTATATGGGAATCATATTTGCCCACGTTTAAGTGTGCTGTGATTGGTTGTTGAATCAGTCTTGTTCATATTTTCTCACGGCCAATATTAGTGACCTAGACATTGAGGTCGGTTAATGTCTACCAATCGGCTAGCAGCCTGCTCTCCCCACAGTTGAACAGGACAAGATAATTTATGTTCCCTTGTTCTCTTGGCTGTCTGCAGTCTGCATTTCGTTAATGTATTGCGTACAGTTGAATAAACACTGTTCCAGGCAGTTTCGGTATAGAAAAGACTAATGAAATACCTGTCTCTTTTACCAGTATGAAAACGCACATTAGCCTTAATAAGATGAAAAAGTACACATGATAATCAAATTTTTGATTTGCAAAATAACTATGCTACTACGAGGTGCCATCGACAATTATACATCTCATCCAACAGATATACGACAATGCTGCATGCCAAGTAATCCACAACGGGAAACTTACGGAACCCTTCGAAGTGAGGACGGGAGTGAGACAAGCTGGCTGTCTACTATCACCACTGATCTTCCTGATTGCAGTAGATTGGATAATGCGACAGACAGTGGCGGCCAATGAGGAAACAGGCATAAAATGGACTCATACAAAAAGAGACTTCGACGATCTGGACTTTGCCCGCGATGATATATGTCTGATTTCCCACAAACTAGAAGATATGCAAGTGAAAAGAAACAAGTTGGAGATAGAAGAAGCATCCAGAGAAGATAGGACTTCCTTCAAGTGAACATAGATAAAACAGAGGTAGGTGATGAAGATTCCTGGCCAACACCAACACCAACAACAACAGCCACAACAACAACAACAGACAACAATCAGGCGGCCAGTATAAATGGGAGAAACCTGAAAGAAACAACCTCCTTCACCCACCAACCCACACAACCACCCACCTGGGAAGCGTCGTTTCAAATACAGGCGAATCCAACTGACGAGGATATCAAAGCAGCGAGGAGCGGAAAAGCAAAACAGGCTTTCATTACTCTCGTCAAGTCTGTGTGCAGGAGGTCAACATCACTACTCAGAATCAAAAATAACATCCGGATTTTTTTCCAACTCCAATGTGAAGTCAGTCAGTGCTACTCACTATACGGATGGATCAGAGACTTGCACTTCGCGTCATAAAGAACATCTCAAACAAACTTCACACCTTCATTAACAGCTAGTTGTCTTCGCTCAATACTCCGCTCAAGATCAGATGGCCGGCTGGCCAGAAAATATCAGAAACAGGGTGGGATCTCTGGCAATGAGCGAACCAACCAACCAACCAACACAGCAGGAACCGATTGTGAAATAAATCTGCAGGATGAAATGGAAGCGGATTGGATTGGTCATACTCTGAGAAAGGAAACCATCGAGTGATTGACATCACTAGACAAGCCATTGGTCGAGTGGAACCCGGCTGAAAGGGAAGTGGGTGGAGAGTTGGTCGTCAGTGGAAGGGTGAGCGTGACATTTTAATTTAATTTTTTTTTTTTTTTTTCTTTTGAGATTTGGCCAATTGCCGGGGACCCGCGGCACCCACATGGAGGAGATCATGTGAAGAGGAGGAGATGAAAGCATGTGGGGAGACGTGTGGAGCGGGGTGAAAAAGTTGGCAGAAAACAGAAGGCAATGGAGGTGGGCAGGTGAAGCCCTATGTTCCTCTAGGAATTAAAGGATATAATAATAATAATAATAATATGGTCTAATATTAAATAACTCACTGTTTTTTATCCCACTATTGGATTAATACAGGTGCTTTACCACAACCTCCAATCCCTGTTGCAACAAATGGTAAAAGTTCAAATATGTATTTACCACAAATTGGTGCTGGTTGGCAAATACCCGGTCCTGTACCGCCTGTCGCTTCTATGCCTATGCCTCAGTTGCCGAATTTCGCTAGTCCTTTTACACAGACCTCAAATCCAAATATATATCCTATGCCTGGGCAAAGTGTACCATTGCCGCCGATAGGTCAAGATCATTCTACACCACCAGTCAATATACCGTATAATTCTGGTAAATACTGTTCTGTTCAGTTCAACTTTTCCATTGAAAAGCACATTCTATTTTTTTTTCATTATCCTAAACAAAAAATCGATAATGTTTTCTGCAGATAACTGTGGGTTTGTCTTTTTTTTTTTACTAAGAGGCGATTATTTCTTTTTTTGATGAAGCAACACACTACTACCAGAGTAGTTTTGATCAATATCAGTTTTGAACACTAGCCAAATACCTTGTATGTATACACAGCTGTCTGCCTGTCTGTTTTCGACATAGAACTTTGCACATATGTGCACCAGTTCAAGTCGCCATACTCCCTCCTCCTAGTAGCACACAAATCAACACAAGAAAGTACAAGAAAAGCATAATACAGACAGTAAACAGACGTGTGAGACAAAGGAAGAGTAATAACGAAGAACAAAACAGTTTCATTGGAAATCATAAATCACAAGGAGTGGATTCATCTGCACCAGCCATCACCGAGAACGACGATTTTGAGCCATATCACCAATTGTCTCCAACCATTGGCTTTACCGTCCCGAGGACCCTAACCAGTCAGGAAGTCTACACCTTCCCACGTGATTGGCTGGCTTAGACTAACTGTTGTAGATTTCATTGACTGGTGAGGCCATGTTTTTGTTTGACCACCGCTAGCTCTTTTCCAGTCTGACTCTATGTCAGATAACATTGTTCATAGTCGAGGAAGGCGATGACTAGTCAGGGATGCGTAACACATGTCCTCGCCATCTCAGTCGATATAACTTCTTAACTTCGTCGATTGATCTCCCTGTTTACCTAGCACTCGACCGAAGCCTAACCTCAATATTGTTCACCTTGTTATGCCACTTCACATGGGAGATAGAACGCAGTCACCTATGATCAAAGATAGCTAATCTTTTCATGTCTTCCACTCTCAGTGGCCAGGTCTCACAGCCAGCCATAAAGGAGGACGGAGTGGACTGATGAGCAGTACATCCGCCCTTTGGTCGATAGTCGAATATCTCGTCTACTAAGCCAGAGACGGCGTAAACTGGCAGGCATATGCGAAACTAGCCCTCTGTATCCGTGCTGAGATTTCGTCAGAGATCAACCCGTTGGGGGGTTGGCTGATGGTACTTCCCAAATAAGAGAAGCGTTCAACGTGCTCTACCACTTCACTTCCTATTTTTAAACTGGGAGTCGGTGTAGTCCAGTTAGTCCTGTAACATCATCTTGCATTTGGCGGGAGCGAGTAGCATGCCAAACATTCGTAGATTGCAGTTCAAGGTGTTTATGAGACTCTGCATTTTGTCAGCATCCTCGCCTAGTAGGACTATATCGTCTGCATACACAGCAGTGAATAGCATCAATTTGTTTTTATTCAACTTGTCTACTCGGTTAACTGTGTTTAGCAGATCATCTGATTATGACCACCATTGAATTTAGAATTAAAACGAAAAAAATTAATTTGACAAGAACAGTTGAATACAAAACCAATGATTCATCCTTCCCAGGTTTCCTTCGCTTTAACCAATAATTAACTATTTTAGTCCCAGTTACTGACTACTTAATTCCCATGATGAAGAATATACACACACATGATTCATACACATACACACACACACACACTGTTCGAAATTCCTGTCACCAATGAGAGTGATTCAGTCTTATTTTTGGATGACTGATTGATTGATAAGATTGAAAGAAGTAGAATAATTTTTTTTCTTTTTACCTGTTCCCCAGTGAAACATAGGGGGGCTTCAAGCTGTGGAGGCTTGAAGTTTCTGTAGCAGTGTTTTTATTTTTTTTATGGGATGGGGTTGCTAGCCTCATGCCCACCCAACCTTTCCTCTCATTACCAGCATATTATTTCTGGCTTAGCGAGCGAGGTAAAGGTGTGCGTCTGTGGCCGGGGATCGTACCATGGACCATGTGGGCATGGTGGTCGGCGAGCATCCTAACCGGGTGTGCCATCGACGCAAAACTGAATGTCGCTGCCAGGATACGAACCCGGGTTAGTGCGGTTGTTAGGCTGTTTAAATTTTTTTTTAATTTCGCGAATAACCACCAGTAAAAGAAATTTAAGAAAGAATCGTGTCATTCACTTACACATTAGCACTATTTTGTGTCAACTACAGGCGGCGTAGATGATGAAGGATGTCAAAGCGAGCCAAGATCAAAACGCAATTCATTCCTCCTCTGAATATGATATGAAAATTCATATTCAAATTTTGCTTAACACTAATGATGACTTCTCAGTGCGCTTCTGTATGGTTCAGAAAGTTGACGCGCCTGACAACACTAGAAAGCATTATTCCATGACACTATAAACTTCTTTTACAAGCCAATGGTTCTTCTCAATGCTTGAAAATCAAATGGCCATTGAGACACAGAATATAAGCGATAAGAAAGTCTGACAGGCAGGCGAACCAACTGAGAACTGAGAACCAACCTACTGGTCAGGAAGCAGAGATGTGCTGCTGGGAACTGTCATCGCTTTCACATGGCTGCTACATATGATCTCTTTCCCATCTTATCGTGGGGCGGGATACCCATTCCATTTTTAGCTTCCATCCAGAGGCGGCCTGGCGCTTATAATATCTTCATTCCCTCTTTATTATTTACAGTGAGGTTATTTGTTATCATTAGTGTAATTGTTTTAGAATATATACCTATTGATTAGGAAAACAAGTGGAGACCTGCCGATTTTATTGCTCAAGAAAACTGTGAACAATGGTGAAACCGATGATGATAATAATAATAAAATCGATTTTGAACACTTTGTGAACAATTCTACGTTTTCAAGTATTGGTTTTGTAGGGATTTTGTTTAATTGCATGTAGGATTTCACCATGAGCTGACATCAGTTAGAGAACCATTGGAAAACCAGCACTGGAGTACTGGGCAGCTGTTTCGTCCTAGTTTGGGACTCTTCAGCAGTACGCACCTACCACAGCAGTTCGAACCCAGGACCTTCTGGTTACAAGGCGAGCTGGCTCGTAGGCTATTGAGCCACTGGGACCCGATCCAATGACCAGTCCTTGAATTCTAACTTCTGCCAATTCACAACATAGCGCGACCACTTCGCAATGTCTTCTTCGATGAGTTACTGCCTCATCTCCAACCTGCTGTACCCTACTGGTCATGTCTTCCCACTAGAATCCCAGGTTAACTGCCTGAATAGGGCCAGTCACTAGTGAGCACATCAGATTAATTTTCAAGTATTGGTTTTGTAGGGATTTTGTTTGATTGCATGGAGGATTTCACCAATGGTCTACTAGCTCGCCTGGTAACCAGGAGGTCCTGGGTTCGAACTACTGTGGTAGGTGTGTACTGATGAAGAGTCCCAAACTAGGACGAAACAGCTGTCCAGTACTCCAGTGCTGGTTTTCCAATGGTTCTCTAACTGATGTCAGCTCACGATGAAATCCTGAAACCATGTTCCCTCTTGATTTGGGACTCTTTATCAGTTCACACAAACACTGCTATTCGAACCCCAGGACCTCTTAGTGTTGAAAGATGACCTCGTAGAGACTATATTAAGCCGCACTGGAACCAGCCGGATCCAGTGGTCGATGAATTCCAACTTCTGCCAATTTTTACGATATGGTGTAACCACTATGGTGAATATCATCGGCTTTAATTGTCCACAAGCTCGCCTTGTAACCGAACGGTGTCTTGGATTCGAACCTCAGTAGTGGTTGCATACTGTACTGACATAGAGTCCCAAACTAGTGAGACGAAAGAGGTGTCCAGTATTCTCACATTTCTTAATGGTCCACTGACAACAGATGTCAAGTTGATGATGAAATCCTTTTCCAGTTGTTGTTTTTTTTGTACATTATGTGAGGTACTGACAGAATCTTTGTGGGAAGTGGCCACACATATACACTGCATGTGTTGATCATATTTGCAGTCGAATATATGTATATGATTTTCACACTTGGAGCTATGGACTTATTTAGACAATATCATCTCAGTTACAGATGTGGCATGGATGTCAAAGCGAGGATAGGATAGGAAAGACAAGCCCTTCATTACTCTGAAATCAGTTAGGAAATTTACTTCAATCTACATAAAGAATAGGATCCGGATTTTTAACATTAATGTATGTGAAGTCAATGCTATAATAATATAGTTGTTAAGAGAATTGACTCATACATCCCGAAAAGCATTTACAACAATCCTACTAAATATTGTTAAATATTATTAACAGCTGTCTTCTCTCTGCATACTGAAGATTAAATAGCAACGAGAAACACTCTGGCTACTAACTAACCAGTCAAGAATTTATCGCCTATCACAAATGTATACAGAAAGAAAATAAAAGACAGATTCAGTGTTCCGATCCACTACTTAAAGGAACTACTTTTGAGGTGCACTCTAAATGTCCAATTCAAGTTCAACAACACGATCTATAGACAAAGAGATTGAGTAACAATGGGGTCACCATTGGGTCCTTTACTTGCAGACTGTTTCTTGGCTAGTTTGGAGAATAGTCTTTTACGGCCTACTATCAACAGTTTCCATCTGTACCAAAGATACATGAATGATACTTTCATCATATGTGACGATGATACCGACATCGAATTGATAATTAAGGAGTTCAACGGCTGCCATCATGCCATCAAGTTCACGTCGGAATCATAGATTAACTCAGAATTGCATTTTTTGGATGTTCTTCTAAAGAGGAGATCTGATGGTTCTCTTCAAAGACCGATCTACAGGAAACCAACATGGAATGGTCAGTACACAGATTTCCATAGCTGGGTCCCTTTGAGAAGAAAGAGAAATCTGATCCATTCCTTATCCTCAAGAATAAGGAGGATATGTTCAAGTGATACAATCGATGGGGAACTGGAGCGACTCAGACAAGTTCTCATAGAGAATGGATATCCTCCAAGATTTATCGAGAAAAACATGAAGTTAAGAGAAAAGCCTGAAAGAATCCAGACGGTGCCTAACAAAACTGCTCTTTATGAGTGTTGAATTTAAAGGTGATACTGCAGCTGAGATCCTGAAGAATCGCTTATGCA